ATTCAGAGATCAGCATAAGCAAGAACAGCAAAATACATTGACACTTCCATAAAACAGCCAAGTTTTATAGGCTTTATTATTTTTATTGTAGCAGTAACATAAACGATTTGAGAAATGCTTTTCAGAGTAAAAAAAAAAAAGTGTTCAGATACAAAATCCATCACAACAACCAGAAACATCACCTTACCTTTGTACATCTGCTAGCAAGCTGTAGGCAGAGCAATAATGCTCTACAGGACAGAGATAACGTTATAATTTATTCTTAGAACATACTTCAGCAGAATTACTTCACTAATAACCTGCTGCAGTACACAGTAATACAGCAGCCCACATAGCACAGCTGACAGCATGAAAAAGAATGATTTTGCACAAGAAAAGCTATCGATTTCACATATTACAGCAGAGGTAGCCTGCTTCCAAGGCTCAGATCTCTCCTTCTTCCTCTGCCTATTTATCCTCCCCAAGTTTTCACTTTGCATTTTGCTGGTGCAGAAACTGTGGCTCTCAGCAAGTCATAGGAGAATTTTCAATAGCCTCAAGCTATTCAAATCTCACTACGAGAAACTGAAGAGCAACTGCTCAGTCCATTGGACATGCAATCACATCAGGCAGGACTAGCATGCCTTGTACTAGCCGAGTCTTCCTGTGCTGTAGTATCTAACAACTCTTTCACAGCCCCTCCACAGGAAAAGTAATCACATCAGTGCAGGCAGCTAACGATTTCATAGGTTCACAGGGAAAACTCTACCAAGGAGGGATCTGCAACTAGAAATCCTTCCCCAGTGGCAATCAGCCCTTCAATGGAGAGGTGCAGCCAGGCTCCACCCCTTTCACTCACATCAGTGAACCGCTTCACTTGTGCTCCCAGGCTGAGCAGATCTTTTCCCCCAGGTGCTCAATCAGTGGTTCAGGCTGTGACTCAGCAGTTCCTATACTCAAGCAAATTCTGATAATGAAACAATGTAGAACAGCTTTTATCCCTTGAAAAGTGTATTTAATTCATATTTTCAAAACAGTAGATACTCACACAGGAGTGTTAGATTCCACAATGCTTTTGGGATCTATGTAGCAAGCCATAAGCACTACACACACCAAGAAGAAAAACACAAAATCCAGCTCTTCTACCCCAGATGACTGAGAATTTTGAAACTCCTCCATGCATCTCAGTCCTTCTGGAAAACTTGGTTTGTGGATTGCATAAACCAAAGAACATTTAAGAGATGTATCAACACTGAAATATTTTTTTACATTTAAATGTTGCAAAAAGAAAAGAGAACACTGCAGTTTAGAAAAATTGACAAGTCTGCACATTAGTTTGAAGTGCCTGCAACTACATCTGGCCACGATTACTCTTATCCCAGCTGAGAAGCCCAAGAGGAAAACGTGTGCATGCCTGCCTTGCACACAGGCATCAGGTGCACGAGGCACAGAGCCCTGTGGGGAGGAACCACGCTCCCCAGCCAGCCAGCCACCAGCACCTCAGGGAGCTCCAGCTGGAGATGTCACCATTCTCTTACAGCCCTTTTCTCTGTAATTTCTGCTCCCTGTACAGGCTGCATGTGGTTACTCCAGAAGGACAGCACACAGCTGCAATAGGCACCTGACATTTAGGTACTTCTGTGCTTCAGCAAGGCAGGCTGGACCCCAACCAAGCACACACCCACTGCAGAGCAAAGCAAGCAAGCAGCTCTGCGCTCCTCCTGTGGAGCTGAGCTAACAAGAAGCACGCCCAGCTGACTGCCTTCACTGAACTACACTTAGCAGCACCATTTAATTAAGTCTTCAGCCAAACAACTAGGGAAAAAGCACACGAGTTTATTAATATATTATGATCCAGTCTATAAAGAACCTTTGGCAGGAGGTTATATAAATGATATTTGAAAGGCAAAGCAAGAGGGTCCTCATTTAGGATTACTTCAAAAATACCTCGGGCCTTAGACTATCTGTATTAATTGCTTGAATCCAAAACATTTCATGCCTACACTTGCAAAGACTTTATTTACAGCTAGAACTTCAGATGCACACAGTATCAGTATTTAATCATCTCAAGCATAGTAGCTGAAATAGATAGCAATATGTCATTTATGGTACCTCTGAAGCCTATTAAAAATAAAATAGGTTTTCACTAAACTTGCAGCCTTCCCCTAAGATGGTTGCAAGCACCAGTTGTTAATTATAGATTAAACATTTCTACAAGACTTTGAAATCATGCTTGGAACTAACCCCAGTAAGCTGAGCTCTGAGCTCAGTGGAGCTGGAAATCCAGAGATCACACAACTTCATACCCTCTTTAATTGTTTGCACATATTTAGTGCAACATGCTTGCAAAGACTCTTAGCACACATCACCCTGTAGAAGAATAACATTTATTTTATGACTACATATGGCACAGATGCTCACATCCTGTTAAGCACAATTCTCCCATCCACTTGAAAGATTTTTCTGTCTTTTATAGCAATTAAAGTTAATATTAATAAGGAAGTGCTCCTTGATTGTTGTTTCAGTTCCAAAAGTGCACCAAGAGCATTTTGTTAACAACTTTATTTGAGCCAGCTCTAAGAAGAGCTTACATCTTTATAACAGGAGAGAAATGAAACTCCTACAAGCTAAGAGATTGCATAACCATAAAAACTAACATTAATGAAGACTTCATGACTCCTCTTTACAGCTTCTACATTCTTGTAGAAGCTGTATTCTTGTAATTCAGGGAGAATAGTTACTTAAAGCACATCCAGGAGAAATAGCACCCAGATAAGAGAAGGAACTGAACAATGCTTATCCTACCTGGTCAAAGAGAAGGTTTACAGCCTTGGTGGTTAATGTCCTCTAATAGACATTATGTGCTGCAACAACCTCAGCAACTACCAGCAAGAACCAGGAATGGGAGCAGATACTAAGCTTTATGGTCTTTATTACTTACTTCTGCTAACCAACACACCTGGGAGTGACCCCACCCTTATCACAGAGAACATGCTGCAGCTGGGACCCAAATCGTGTACAGAGAACAGCTGAGCAACTCGGAGAGCATGCATCTTTCAAGCATTAAGCATCTTTATGCTTTTTGTTTCATTTTACTAAATATTAGGCAGGTTTGCTTTGTATACTGTAAGCACAGAGACTGTCCCCTTACACTCAAAATTTGAACAGATGTGCATGAAAACCCAGAACCCAGAAGCAGGAGTTATTCCAGCTGCTCCCTCCCAGCCTCCTGCAGAACAGGAGCAGCCCCTCAGGCCTTCCTTTCCTTGCTCTGCTCTTCTTCTGAGCCCTCACGTACAGCAGCTCATTCTGACAGATCTTGAAAAGCTGTACTTCTCACCTATTTTTAACCCAAGAATTTAACTTGAGTTGAAAGAAGAACATTCATAGATAATATGAGAGATCTTCATCATTCTTAGTACTGTGCTATCTATGTGGATACATCCATCGTCAAGGACTCTTTTGCTCAGCACATAGCAGAGTAGCTAATATAGCACTGAACGTGCAGAGACTCGGGTAAGGAATAATACAAAGGAATTCAGCATGTTCTGAAAACTCACCCAAAACAGTGATTCAATTTAGTCTGGAATAACTGAGTATTGTCTTTGTCATTCAGCACATTGGATCAGAGCGTAGAAAAGAGGAATAGAAATGAATGAAGGCATGGGAAAAATTGTATGGAGAAAAAGTTCAGTCTAGCTTACTTTGCATGACTTACAATGACAAAGCAGAAGTGACAAAAGTGGGGTAGGCAGCAAATGCTTTGGAGAAATCAGATCTCTTTTGCATGTATCACAAGACATGAACAAGACTTTAGTTCAATTGAGTAGGTTGAAAATGCACTTTTTTTCCATACCACATAGCTCTATTGTGTAATCCCTTGCTTTAGGAACAAATAATTTAAAACTATTGTGAAAGGACCAGACAATGACATATGAGAAGCTGAGACAATGGGTTTGCTGTGCTGCTGTCTGCAGCCATCTCATGGGAACCAACTCTTGTCAGAAGTGCACAATGGAAGGACAAGCAGCACCAGCTCTGAGTCTGTGTGAACACCTCTCCCAGGAGGGTGGTCAAACGGAAGCAGGAGCCCAGAATGTCTGTGGGACCTCCATCTCCGGGATATTCAAAACTTGACTGGCCAAGGTCCTCATCAATTCACTGAGCAGAAGTCCAGACTGGGTGACCTTTGGAAGGTGTCGTCTCCAAACTACACAATTCTGTGATTCTACCTAAAATTGTGTATATATATAAGCATTTATATAAAATAAAACATACGCGCACCCAGTATCCATTTCCAAATTGAATAAAAGCAAATGCTTTGAGGGAAGGAAGGAAAAACCAAGGGTAATATATTTTCTCCTGGAGCATTTTGTTCTAAGTAACAGTTAAAGATAGGCTTGATCAAGTAAATACACACACAGCTCACTGACAGTTTAGGCACTACTATGGGCTTTTCAGGCTCTACTGCTTCTACACATGATAACAAAAGAGCAATTAAACGGGGGCTAGCCTTTGCAGTTAGAAGGTGCTGTTAGTAGAGGGGCAGAGATGCAAATTAAAACTTGAAATTGGATTCATTTACTGCCTTGTCCCCACAATCCACGTGTATTACGTATCTGTACTCCTTAGAGACAAATGCTGAAAGCTTTCTTTATCACTAGCAGTCTCCACCATCTATTCCTTCATGTTTTAAAATCACCTTCTATTTGAACTCGCGGGCAGGGATATTAATTCAGCTCCACTAAACATCAGCAGATCAATAATAAGAGTTTCTAATTAGCTTCATTCCTATGTTTAAAACCAGTAAAACAAAGACTTACAGCACAGACCTCTTGTGTGCTGTAACACACAGTAACAAATGAGCCAGAGGGACAGCCACAACCTTGACATTTTAAATGAACTCCACTCATTTCTGTTTTACTTTCTACTGTAACCAGTGGCAGACAATACCAACATCAAACAGTTATGAAGGAGGCTGAGGGGAAAGGGAATAGTGCTCTCTTTTCCCATTTCTTTACCTCATGTTTTGCAGAGCTTCACGTGTGGAGCATTGCCCTGATGCCCTCCTCCAGCTCAGCTGGGCCGGTATTTGTACACCTCTCTAATGAGAAAAAAGACATAAAAACATCTGAAACATAAGGAAATCTCACTGTGAACTCGTAAAACTGGCTTTAAGAATAATTTTAGTGACCCAGAAGTACTGTTCTGTCATTCTAAAAGACTGCTCGTATTTCCCAGCAAGCTCATCACTTTAAGACCATGCAGTGACGGAAACACAGCGTATCTGCCTCTGTGCAGACATTTTTCTCCAAGCAGGGAAACCTACAGGCAGCAGCAGGCTTGAAATTGAATTGTAAAAGCAGGAAGAACTCCAGTTTTCATCTCTGAGGGAATTCAGCACAGCACTGCTCACAGCGGTGTGAAGGACTGCAATGTTTCCCAGCCATCCCCCTCGCTGTATTTTCCAGAGGTGAATCCCAAGTCTCTTTACAGAATCACAACCACAGAATGGCCAGGGTTGGAAGGGACCTCAAGGATGATGAAGCTCCAACCCCCTGCCATATGCAGGGCCACCAACCTCCATATCTAATAGTAGCCCAGGCTGCCCAGGGCCCCATCCAACCTGGCCTTGAACACCTCCAGGGATGGACGGGGCATCCACAGCCTCTCTGGGCAGCTGTTCCAGCACCTCACCACTCTCACAGCAAAGAACTTCCCCCGACATCCAACCTCAATCTGCCCTCCCTTAACTTCAAACCATTTCCCCTCGTCCTGCAGTTATCTACCCTTTCAAGGAGTTGATTCCCCTCCTGTTTGTAGGCTCCCTTTAGGTATTGAAAGGCTGCAATGAGGTCAACTCAATCTAAGTTTCACAAAACGCACTGCATCCACTGCAGCAGCTTGAACGCAAATACGTCAAGCGCGGTATGTTTCAAAATGAGCTAAAAGAGGGAATATGGGAGCAATCAGCATTGGAAGGGCTGCGCTCATCACCTCCTGCAGGTTTACTCATGGAGGTTCCCCCAGATGATCAATACATTGATTTGTACGCTCGAGCAGCTTTACAGCCCGGGTCACTGCAAAAGCCAATGCCACTTTCTGAGCAGCGCTCATCAGGTGATTTTGTTAGGCAAGCAGGCGGTCAGTCATTAAAACATGGAAATGGTGAAAAGGGGAATCAACTCTTTGAAAGGGTAGAGAACTGCAGGATGAGGGGAAATGGTTTTAAGTTGAGGGAGGGCAGATTTAGGTTGGACATCACGGGAAAATTCTTTACAGAGACAGTGGTGAGGTGCTGGAACAGCTGCCCAGATTGGCTGTGGATGCCCCATCCTTAGAAGTGTTCAAGGCCAGGTTGGATGGGGCCCTGGGCAGCCTGGTCTAGCGTGGAGGTTGGTGGCCCTGCATGTGGCAGGGGGTTGGAGATTTCGTGATCCTTGAGGTCCCTTCCAACCCTGGCCATTCTGTGATTCTGTGAAAAGCGCCTCTAAAGGCGGCTATATGTAATCGCTCGCTCCGCGCGGTGAAAGCTGCGCAGTTGCAGCATTTGCTGGCTCAGAACTTTTTCTTCCTTCAGCTTCTCGCTGAGTGTGGGGGCGAACGGGAGAGTTCTGATATTCTGAAACTACCTGAACTATCGCCCCACGAACAACAAGGAGCAAATCGCCGCCCGGCTCCGTCCTCAGCCCCTCCGCCCGCCCTCTGAGGGGAGGTGCCGCTCCCGCCTCCGCCTTGAGGCGGCGCTGCAGCCCGCCCTCGGCACGCGCCCGCCCCGCTCGTCCAATCAGCGGCCGCGCAGCAAATTCAAACCTTGCGACGGTTAGGCTGCGTCTGGGCGGGCGGGCGCCCTCGGGTCGGTGATGGAGCGCCGCCCGGCAGCGCCGGGACCCTACCGCGCCACTGAGCTGGTGAGGGCGGCGGGACGGGGAGGGGGCGGCCGGCTGGGCTCCGAGCTCCGGGCTGCCTGTGAGCCTCTGTCACGGCTGTGCGGGGGGGGCGTGCAGCATTGGTGGCGACGCATTAACCTCAGTTCGCTCCTATGGTCATTCCTGTCTTATTACTGTTTGTTGTTACCAACTTTCGGCTTTAACCTTCTGTCCCCCGTCGTTTTGTCTCCCGCGCAGTGGAATGAGATCACCAGGTATTTCCGAGCTGCCATGCCGCTGAGGACGCACAGGCAGCACTTCAGAAAGCACGGCAGCTGTTTCACCGCCTCCGAAGCTGCGGATTGGCTGCACGAAGCGCTGAGGAGCAACAGCAACTTCGGGCCTGAAGTGAGCAGGCAGCAGACCGTCCAGCTGCTAAGGAAGTTCCTCAAGAATCACGTAATTGAAGATATTAAAGGAAGGTGGGGGTCAGAAAGCCTAGAAGACAATGGTGCGCTATACAGGTACCGAAATGAAAATCGGTGGAATCACAGAACGGCCTGGGTTGCAAAGGAGCACAGTGCTCATTTATTTCCAACCCCCTGCTGTGTGCAGGTCGCCAACCAGCAGCCCAGGCTGCCCAGAGCCACATCCAGCCTGGCCTTGAATGCCTGCAGGGATGGGGCATCCACAGCCTCCTTTTGAATTTTATTCAAAATAAAGCCTCCATTGAATTTTATTCAATGTTCAGAATTATTAAAAAAAAAAAACCAAACAAACCCCACTTCAGGTTTTGACCAGTTGAGTCAAAAGCAATTATTAACAGAAATTTCCTGTTCTTGTTGAATATATACCCTGCTTACTGAAAGCTGGGTCGTGCTTCTGTCTGTCCAGTTTTTTTCCTTGACATGGGTTAGGGCTTCAGAGGGAACCCAAAGCAAATTTATTCTAGTAGCTCTGTGCTGCAGTACTGATGGCCCTCACTTCTCTGAGTCTGATCTTAGCGCTGGATAAGTGGCTCAGCCATCTCCAACTTGACTTTGGAATTAAGAATAGGCCGAAGTACACTGATTATGTTAACCATAATCATATGATTATGAATATGTGCATATTATGTTAATGTTCTAAGGAAAAAAAAAAAATGAATCCCCTCAATTTTAACTCAGCAATTTTAATTCCCTGAATCTTCTCAGAATCTTATGAAATCATGCTGGTAAAGTATGGCTTCAGGTAAATGATAGCTTATATTTTTTTAATGTATTCTAAATGCAGTTAATATCTTTCCTATTAATTCCAGGTTTCCTTCAACCTCTCCAGTTAAACCTCTACCAGCTTCACGTCGCCAAAATGAAAACTTAGGAACCTTCTCTAGAGATAGACTTCTTAAACTGCCACATTTATCAAGGAGAATTCCAAAAAAACACGAGTTGCTGACACCTCTGGTAGTAACACATTTCTTACCTAACCTTAGTTACCACATATTTCCTTTGTCTTTTAAAACAAAACAAGAAGCCCACGCTGTTAGTAGCAGCCATCCTCTAGGCACGCGGCTGTGTCTCATTCCCATGTAAGTGCAGGAATAGTGTAGGTTCTTCTGGATAGCAGAATAGAACATTGGTATAGGTTTGATAGAAAGATGCAGTTCTGTTTTGTAATGCAGTGTTTGATTGTGTGTGCCTTTTTTCTTGCATGTACAAAAAGATTGTGTTAAACGGTAAACATTCAAGTGAAATTCCTATATGTAAAACATGCAGAAATGTAAGGTATGTAAAGTAGGCATGACTGTAACACAGCATTTCTGAAATGCGGGATACAAGTAAATGGGATTGTGCTTTTGACAGAAAAAATACTCCTTTCATGAAGCTGTCTTTTCCCCAGCTTAATGGCACTAGCTTTGTTGGCAGGAAAATGTGAGGAGAGTGTTCTTCATGCTGGCACGTAATCTAAATGCAAAGAAAGATGACTTGCCCTCCACCCCACAAGTCGCAGTCTTGGAACTGTTGTTGAATGATCTGGCATTAAGTGGAGTTTCAGTTTGTAATGTTCAAGCACTAAAGCATCTAATCCCATCAATATGGGAAACTTTTTGTTTTCTTATTGATTCTCCACTTTGGCTTGTTCAGTGCAGAATTATCCCTGCTTATAATATTTTAAAGCATTGGGAACGCTGGAATGCGAAGCTCTAGAAATGAGCAGCACAGTATGTTCTCAATGGAACTTTAGATTTGTTTTTTCATTTAGGACAAATAAAAGGCACAAATTTGCTAACTGTTGTGCCTGCTTTTTGAGAAAAGATTGAATGTATTTGGCCTTTTTTTTTTTTTTTTCAGGTTATTTAGTGCACATACTTTGTGGTCCTAAAGACAGACTCCTTGCTGACTAATATACTTAAAGGATAGAAACACATCAAATTTAAATTACTGTCTTCTGAAGGGCTTGCACACAAGGTCTTTATGCACAGTGTTGGTTTTGGCTTTCTAAATGCATATGCTTGCATTTCAGTGCTGACATGACTAAGGTTATTTGCTGAATCCTATTTTGGAATTTAATTCTTCACAAAGACCAATGTGTATTTCTCTTAGGGGCTTCTTTTCTTTAAGTATAACATGCATAAACCACTCACTTTCAGGAAAATGTGGAGAAAACAAAGCTGGATAAAACAGAAAATGAAGAGGATGCGCAGTGCAGGAAGGAAGTAAGCCAAGAATACGTGCAAGAAACTTGGAGGAATATCATTCTAATACAGTAAGTAAGGAACTGCAAAAAGTCCCTTCCCTTCCTGTGTGTATGCATTCTCTTTATAATGGCCCAATGAAGGGTTTGACTTGCAAACTCTTTTTGAACTTTTAAAGAATAAAGGTGACAATTTACTATTATTTATATATGCTTTCCAATGTATTTTCTAATGCTAGGCTTTGTACTTAAGAAGCTTATTGCTTGTGTTGAGTTATATTTTAACCCATCAGCTGTTCTTTCTTCTCCCTGTTCATTGTTCTTTGGTGCTTGTCTCAAGAACAAGCGTGCCCTCAAGTTCTTCTTCTGTAAGAGAGATTCCACTAAACTGCAAATCAACTTACCAAACAACTCTTGTTTGAATAGATGTGAAGATATTGATTTGTTGTTTTTTTTTTCTATAACAGACTTCTTAAACAGCATTTGTTTTCTTCCTCTCTGCAGTTTGCAAACCATCTTAGGCCTCCCATCCTTGGAAGGAGTTTTGCAGCCAACACAGATAGTTCCTGAGTATGTCATATACAATATGACACACACAAGCAAACATGGTGTTGTAATTTTGCAGAACAAATCAGGTAAGATTTTCCTAGCTTTGTTTAAAGTTTCTGGGCTGTGTAATTACAACAAAGGTAGGAATTGACTATGGTAATATATTTCATAGTGAGGCTTTTACATTTCCTTCTCTAAATGAGAAGTTTGCTTTGCTTTTGTAGATGTATTACATTAATTTGTAAGGAAGTACATATGCATAGTAATATTTATAAGTAGACTCAATTTCAAACTAATATGGTTACTGTATTTAAAACCTGCATGTTATTGTTTGCATCGAGTCTTTAGTATTTTGTATAACAAATGCACTTATTTATTTTAGAAGACCTCCCTCACTGGGTGTTGTCAGCTATGAAGTGCCTCGCCTACTGTAAGTAATGGAAGAGCTCTTTAAGTTCCAGAAACTTATTGTGGGAGTTAAAAGTGAAATATTCCAGCATGTTAAGATCAATTGTGAATTTTGTCTTCAAACTCTGTAGGAAGATCAGCATTATTGTAGTTCAGAGATGAAGGAAAATGTTAAGCGTTTGTGACTGTTTTGATGAGGAATATATAAAGGGCATAAGTTCTCCCTTACTGTAGTGGGGCAGAACAGCCTGTTGAAAATGAGCAGAACTCCTCAGTGGATACAGAAAATATTTTACGCTACTTCCGCTTACAAATGATACAGTGCTGAACTAAACAATTTACATGCATATTGCTGGCATGATTCTTCTCTTGTGAAACAGTTATTCCTACAGGAAAAAGCTTTCACAATTCTATTTACACTGTGGCTTTCTTTTTTGAATAAATACTGAATTTCCTTTCTTCACCTCTCTTTAGGGCCTAGAAATAACGATATGAGCCAGCCAACTTACAGTGGGTTTGAACGGGATGTCTTCAGAACAGTTGCTGATTATTTTGTCAATCTTCCTGAACCATTGCTTACTTTTGAATATTATGAACTTTTTGTTAATGTTTTGGGTATGTATAAATTTAGAAATAACAGGGCAAGCTATAATATATCAACTGTTTATATCAATATATCAAAAGTTTATATCACCTGGGGGGAAGACTATATCTGTAACTCAGAGTGAACCATGACCCCCATTAGTCTGTATGGCAGCTTGAATCTGGGGCTTGTCTTCAATGCTGTCATTCTGTACTGCATCATTAATTGAAATGCAATTGTATCTCATTCTGTGCAAATTACCATCTGAGATAACTTTCTAAATGCTCAGTAACAATTTAAAAACACATGCTCATCTTTGTCCCTCGCTTTTGCAGTCTGTTGGCATTATTCTTGCATGTTGGTTGTAATCGATTGCTTGGAGACTGAGCTCAATTTTTTTTTTTTTCCTTATTTTACTAACTACTTAATGTCTTATTTGTCTTCTGTTCAGTTAGTGACTACATTTCTTTCTGAATTTGTTTGCTTTCATACCACTTGCATCTTAATTTATATTTCATTTTCTGATAGTTATGTGTGGCTTCATCACAATTCCAAATATATGCAATGGAAAACATTCAGTCCGAGATGAGACCTGTGACCCACAGCCTTCAAAAATTCTTCACTTGAACTCTTTCAAGTCAACTGAATGTCTTCTTCTAAGCCTACTTTGCAAGGAGCCAAAGGAAAAAAAGGAGGAGTGTGAAGCTTCCTGGAAATCCTCTTCAGAAGAGTTAGCTGTTCAGACACAACGTGCAAAGAAATTGCAGCAGTGTAAGCTGACAAGTAAACAAGGCAGTGCTGACAATCTCATAGGAGGAAGCTGTCAGAATCTTTCAGGTTTCAGGAATGAACAAGATCAATCTCTAAAACTTAGGACAAGATGTTACTCTTTGGAAAGAATTGGAAACACTGCCTCAAGAGTGCATGATAAAGGAAAATCTGATTCCCTCAGGAAAACTAATGTCTTGAGCACAAGAAATGAGGAACAATGGCTACCATGTGTGTCTAAGACTGAGTCTGTGTTGGAGTTTGGTTTTGAAAACACATGCCAAAAACAAACTGATGGTTCCAAGAGAGCGTCTGCCTCAATTCTTCTGGATAGAGAGCAATTTAAAGAAAAGCTTAAATCAAAGCAAATATGCAGGTCTCAGAGTTTACTTGGGAGCAGGAACTCCAGAAGTTGCACTAGCATCAATGTCCCAGTTGCTGAAATCACAGTAAAGCCGAGGTCTCAGCGCTGTGGGCAAGGAAGACCAAATACTTCAGTGGCTACATCAGTGGGCATCAGGACTGAGGTTTCTGATATAACCATCAGTAAGAGACTCTGCAGGAGTACCGTAGAACTTTCAGAATGCTCTTTCACTCACTCTTATATGTTGACTGGCACGCAAAGTAAGATGGCTTTACAAAGCATGTTGTATTGGCTTATTGTGTTGACTAACTAATCTCTGCTTCCTTACTTTCTTTGACATGGTCACTAGTGGTTTTTTATATCTACATAATACAAGGGGGTTTGAAAGAGTTGTGAAGTTGTAGCATTTAAAATTATTTTCATAGCTCTGTCAACAAATAGTAGTGTTACCTTTGGCTTCTCAAATTGGATCTGTCAGAACCTTCCTGTCCAGGTAAGCAGTGATGCTTCTGACCTCAACGTCATCTGGAGGAGAACTCACACAGACCTGCCCTTTGGAGATATCTTTTTAGAACCTTTGAAACGTGCTTTCTGGGAATGCTCTCAGAAATAGCATTAGGGTATTATCTCAACTGTATTATGGCACTAATTGCACAAGCAGTTCATAATAATGAAGTGATTTGGGGACCCCCCCCACACACAAAAAAAAAACATGTAACATTGATCTACAGTGTTACAGCTGATTGATTGCCATGAAAGTGAAACGTGGATCATGAAACAAACAGATTGTCTTCATTAGAGGGAGGAAATTATTTTACTGAATAAAAATCTGGAATGCTTGTTCAAGTCTTAATGACAACTGTACTACAATCAACTTGTAGGTCTCCTTCAGCCTCACTTAGAAAGGATTGCTGTAGAAGCACTACAGATCTGCTGCTTGCTGCTTCCACCACCAAACCGCAGGAAGATGCAGCTCCTGATGAGAATGATCTCTCGGATCAGTGAGAACGTTGACATGCCACGACTGCACGATGCCATGGGCACACGTTCTTTGGTAAGAGAATTGTGACTGCTGTGTATCTGTGCTCTAAAAATACTGCTAAAGGAATGCTGAGGATACTAGAAGTAATCAGGACTTAAGTGACACTGGCTTATTGTAATTAAATGGTGATTAATGGACAGATCTTTGATTTCTAAAGCATTTACAAAAATCTAACTTGAGGCAAGCGTTTCCTTGTCCCATACTAATATGCTGTAAATACTGATGTTGTTTTTGCTTGTTTTTGTGAGAAGAAGGGAAATAACTCCTCAAAAAAAAAAAGGGTATGATTGTTCAGTCTGATTTCTCAATCCACTGTCATCTCAGATTAAAAACTGTTGGCAGCAGTGTTTGTGGATGACCTTTCTTGGGCTAAATATTTGTGTAGTTGAAGTTATGACATAATCCATCCTAGAGAAAAAGGAAGACTTTGCCTAGCGAGCTTATAGGCTAGTTTCTAGGTCTGAAAGTAAGCTTTTACTGGAATGATTCAAGTTGCTAGTAATGCTTGTACCAAATAAGATTAAAGAATGTTATCTGCACATGCTAAGTAAGGCTACTGAAAGCAAGGAAATAAGAAAACTGTAAAAATGTTCTTAAAAGTTATTTCAAACTGATCGTTGATATGCATTACACTTTGAACACCTTTAGAGTCAGCCTACCTTCTGCCACCCCAGTGGCTCAAGACAACTAGTAGAATAGGTACACTTTTCTATTGGAGGGAAGACTTATTACCATCTTTAAAATATATTTCTTAAAAATATTACTGTAGGACTTGTACGCTTCTGTATTGAACAATGTTTTGTGGGTTTCTTGTTTCCTCATCTGAAATAATCAGTTTTCCTCCTCTCTTGACCAGTAAGCATGGGCAAGAGAGATTGCAATGAAAGCTGTTATTGGAGAATTCATTGTGCCAGTGTGTGGAATGGAAGACAAATCCCTCAATTGCACATACTAATGATCTGCTAAATACTTGTAGATGATACAGACTTTTTCTCGATGTGTGTTGTGCTGTGCAGAAGAAGTGGATCTTGATGAGCTGCTTTCTACACGATTAGTTTCATTTCTAATGGACCATCAACAGGAAATATTTAAAGTACCAACTTACCTGCAGGTTGCAGTGCAAGATCACATAGAATACATGAAGATGGCTCAGGTTGGTGGTATAACAGAAGTTTTAAGTACCTTTGCTGACTGCAGAGTATTTATTACTTATATGGGGTGGATGAGAACTGCAAATAAAGCCACAGTATAATAAATGCAAACTTGTATTAAGCTATTGGTGCAATCATAGACATCAGCCACTTTATAATCCCTTGCAACTTGTGATGTGGCTGTAAATTAATATGCTTGGATGTTAAATATGGTAGCTTCTTATCAAAATGGGACATCATTTGACTTTAGAAAAATCCTTTCTTTGATTTTTATTTCAGTGCAAATATCCAGGGGAAGAGATTTGTGCCATATTACCAACCTATTCGTACTGTGAACAAATAACCCCTCAGGAGTTTGAGGAACAAAAGGTTTCTACTTCTCAAGCTGCTGTGGCAGAGCTGCTAGAGAACATCATCAAAGATAAGAACTTATCTGTGAAAGAGAAAAAGAAAAAGTTAAAACAGGTGAGGAACTTATTGGCTTTAAGCAATTCTGAAAACACTTCATGTGAGAAGAGCTCAGTCATGAGGCACTGCTATCAGAGCATGAGCAGACTATAGAGAAAATGCCTGTTTTACAAGGAGCACTAAGTGCTGTTTGGTTTGGGGGTTGTATGGGATGATTCTATTTTAAGAACAATGTCTAAAATAGCATTTGATACTGTCTAGTAACAGTGATGTTCAGTGATTCAAAACAGTAGAAAACTTTTTTAAGATGTTCTTTATTAAATAAGATGTTTTACTGACTAAACAGATTGTCATTAAAATGATGTAAATGGACAGAAACTTAAGAGGACGCAAATGGTGGCTTTTTTCTTCCTTTAAAAGGTTGAACTCAATCTATGCACAACTCTGAAGCATTCTTTTCTGTGGCATTAGCTTTGTTTTGTAACATGTATATTGCTCAAGATTATCTGGCATTTCTATGGCCTACTAACATGTTGCCTAATACTAAAGCTGAAGTGCAGCAATTCTGGCAGGATTTAATACTGGAGTTTTTTTTTCTTTTTAAGAAAACTTTTGGCAAGTGTTTCTGACCAATTGAATAGTATTGTACTTGTCCTAGAATCTCTTAAGCAAGTCTTGTGACTCAAATTTGAAAAAGCAGCTTTCCAAAGCAAGCATGTTTGTTCTGATGCCCTTTCCACTGCCAGCCTCTGCAACAGTGACTTCCATGTGTGTTCTGGGAGCTTCGTTTTTCCAGGACCAAACTTCAGAAGCCTGGCCTGTTCAAGTTCATGGAAACTTCCTGCATGTAGAGAAGAGTAGTTAATTACAGTTGACTTAAACCTAAACTTCTGAGTGAGCAAGCAGTAAGAAGTGATGCACGGCAGCACATAGAGCAGGTGAAGCAGGAAGGAAGGAAATAAACTAAAATAGTCTAATATAAAACTTGAAGTATATGCTTACATTTTTGTGAGCTCTCACCAAAAGCAGCTTATACTGTATGGGCCACGTATTAGCAGGGTTTGTGTCAAACAGTAGGATAGCTTTATTGTGGTCGTGCTAGCTGTGCTGGGATAGTGAGCAGTGTGATAAATCTCAACTCTTTGCAGTGATTATACAGTTTTGGTGCTTTGAATTAGGAAAAGCCAAATGCGTGCCACTTCCTAGGGGGTTACATCCAATTTACATCAACGTCAAAATTACAAATGATGTGATAATTTTCAGTAGGCTGTGAATTCTGCTTAAGACTCCTAATCAACCTTTCAAAAGAAAACAAAGGATACAACCAAAATATCTCTGAAGCTAGAAGTTTCTGTCCATCCCTGTCTCTGCAGGAACTGGAAAACAACAACTCTGGTGAAGTAGTTATCTCTCTTGAGAGAATGCCTTCAGAAATCTTCTGAATCCTAACTTCTTTTTGGTGAAACATATTCATCATTGTGATTCTTTTTTTTCTTTGAAAGGCACTTGTCCAAGCATAAGCAAAATAAATACCCGTGTTGACAGCATGTCTTCAAATGGTGACTACAAGTCTTACTTATAGGGTAAAAACTGGTCATACTGTTCAGAATGAAATGGTTGGTGACAGAAGCAATAAGCTGTGTTAACTTTTATTCAGTTGTTCAACATCACTGCAAATAACTGCCATTTCAAATGGAGATGAGGGCAGGTAGTCACTGGTTGGAGATGGAAAGTTGTGGTGTCTGTTGGAAGGGCTGTGCTGGTTGCAACAGCTGAAAACCATGAGAATAGAATGACTTCTCTCACTTCAACAGAAGGTGACAGAACTTCATTCATTGTTTATCAGTTGAGCTCGTAAGCACAAAGGGCTGCAGCTTTGGTCAGGTGTCACAGCAGAAGTACTTTACAGACTGATAGCCTTGCACTTCCTGCTGACATGTGTCTGTATGCAGTCAGTCATGCTTCTGTCATTGCTGTGTGTTTTTGTTGCCTTTTTTTTTTGTGGAGTCTGATGTAATGTTTTCTTGTGTATCTTCTAGTTCCAGAAGGAATATCCTCTGATCTACCAGAACAGATTTCCAACCACAGAAAACGAAGCCATGCTGTTTGAGAACAAACCTACCATTAAACAACCCATGCTCAGCCTAAGAAAACCCAAATTTCGCAGCCTGAGATATTAATGTCAGCTGCACGTTTCCTGTGAGTCTGTGTGTGTGAATGGCTGACCAAGGCCTGCTTGGAATGGAGATCTGCAGTGGCTGTGCACGTGGAAGGAAGAAATGTTTACATGAACACTATGCAGAGAAGTGCCAAAATAACTTTGTTTTTTTGGAACTTATATTTATTGTTTTCCTAGAAGTTATTGAACTGTTTACAAGTTAATCAATATATTGTGCTCAGCAAAATAAGTGTGGAGATGAAGCTACTAATTACCAAAAATTTATATATGGTTTTAATTTGGGAAACTAATGATATGCATATTGTAATGTTTTTAATGTCTATTCAGGAATTGGTGCCATGAATTATAGTTTGTGTGCACTCCTAATTGTTTGCTTGGTGTGAATAAGTGCCTGCATTGTTTTGTTTAAAGACAAACATTTTGAGAAAGCAAAGTTGAGTTTGGAAGTAAATTAAAACTTGTTTTTGTTATTTCTACAAAGGGGGCCAGAAATTCACCAGAAAGGAATTATCTGACTCCTTAAAATACTTGTTTCCTCTCATTTGAAACACTTTTTAGAATATTTATTTATATTAAAAGCGTTCTGTATATCTCTGATGTTTTCCTGGAATGCTTATTTTGGATGTAGTGATATACTTCTCAAACAGCACTGGGTAATGTGATGGGACATTGAACAGAATACTAACGCGCTGTTTCCCTGTTTTGCTTCCAGAAGTAAGAAGTGGATCTGTGTTGGTGTTCCTGTGAGAGAGCAGCTTAAAGTGTTTTCATAAACAAGGCTCTAACTTAACATTTGTATTTATACACACACACACACACACACACACACACACACACACTTTAGTGTTATTCATAAAGCTCTCTTATTGTCACTTCTACATTGTACATCATTACTATGTGGTTTTTGTCCTTTAAGGGTGAACACTTTGTAAGCCAAGGAACACCAGATTTCAGCCACTACTGGTCCCACTTCAATGTCCTGTGGGTACCCTGGTGCTTACATAGCTGATGGACATGCATGGTTTGTAATGCCTGTGGACAACTTTAGCATCCTGTACCTGCACAAACTTGCTTCTGCTCCTTGGGCTGTTAAGTGTTTCATAAACGTGTTAGTTAGTTGTGTTCTAATTAAGCAACTTACTAGGCTCACATTTCTTAGGACTTGCCTCTCAGCAGCTTGCCCTCATTATTCAGTCCTTGATCCACATTATTTAATGTTGTTTAATTATTTAATGTTCCCTTCTGAGGTTTTGAAAAACTTAGATAATAAACAGAAACTGACCAGCAGTGGGACATTTCCTCAGACGGAAATAGGTAAGAAAGGCTTACATTAGAGATCTATCATTTTGTCTTGACAGAGCTTTTAACCATTTTTTTTCTTTTGCATATCTGTAATTCTATTTGGGGAGCAGCTCACCAGGCACGAAATCACAGGCTGTAACCTATCAATGTGGTATAACAGGATTATCTGTTGCTTGGAGTATAGCTTTGATCTAAGAACAGGGACAGGAGGAAGGATTCATGGCTGTCTTGCATTCACAGGGAAAGAAAAAATGCTTTGGTGTGGCTGTACTGGCACACACACAAACACGCACTGCTAATGAGAGCTCAGTGCTGCACAGCTGAGCAAAGGTTTGGTTCTGCTTTGTTCCCCTTTGCTCTGAGAGGGGAGGCTGGTGAGAGCCAAGGGCTCAGGGCTGCTTCTCAGGTTCCATTCCACACTTAGAAAAGTCCACGTGTTCCTGTATGCACACTGTGGCTTTTTAACTTGTTTTCATGCGAGAATTAAACTCCTATAAACATGTTTAGTCTGTTTTTTTTTTAAAGCCCTCAATTGGGTTTGAGCGTTGTGGTTCACTTGGAGTAGATTTACTTGAAAAACATGTTAAGCTGAAATGTCACTTCCAACACTGGTCAGATCCCTTTGATAACTTGGGTTGGATAGTTGGAGATGCTTTTTCTCCAAAGAGTGCTCAGCACTGCACAGCTGCCTGGGGTGGGGATCACCATCCTGGGATGGTGGGCACTGGGGGGGGTGGGCTGGGGAGCTTGGAGAGCTTTTCCAACCTCAGTGATTCTGTGGTTGTAGGAGAGAGGAGCAGCAGTGTCTGGTGATGCTAGGCAGTGACACCTCTCCCCTGCCATCACTGGTGTCACCTGGTTTCTCAGCATTGCACAGGATGGGGGCTCAGTGACTGCAGTGCAGAGCTGGGATGAAGTGCAGCTCCAGTTCCTCTTTGTTGTTGGTTTTTTTTCCCTTTGTAATCTCTTCTGCTCGGGAAGAATTTAGGTCTCTAAAAAAACCCTCAAAGCTGCTTTGTGTGTGAACAGCAAGACAAAGCCTCGCAAGGCGTTGGGAGGATTTTGGCCTGAAAGCCACCTCTGTTCCAGCACTGAGCCCATTGGCTGCACTCAGCTCCCAGCACTCCTTCCTGCACTCCCATAAAAACCCACATGTAGCTCCAGGAGCCTCAAATCCTGCACTGAGACAATGTACAGCCAGTGAGTGCTGCCGGGGCTCTCCTCTATATGGGCTGGGGGGGGTTGTTGCTCCTTGGGGCGGTGAGGTTGGGATCGTGTGGGGTTTTGGGGCACTGAAGTGCTGGTCTGTGTTAGAGGCAAGGACCAAGTGCCATGCAAACTGTGCTTTGCTATAGGTAGGAATTGGAGCTTAGCAAATAATTCTCAGCTGCGTATTGCCAAACACTTTGCTTAAAAATACAAAAATTATTCAAGACTTGGGAGAGGTAAGGTGGATGTTTGTTACTGAAAGGTGTCCTGCTTCCTGATGCATCAGATGTCCTGGGTTTGTCCCTTGTGCCAATCATATACCACTTGTTGGGGATGAGGGGTCTGCTGTCCTGCTGCTGGTTCCCCCTCTGTACCCCCAAGATCTCCTGTTGTTTCTGCCTGCTCTCCTCATTGGTTTTTGCAAGCCACAGCTTTGTCCTCCCAGCACCACTTGGAAGCTGCCAATGTAGGTCTGATGTCCCTTGCAGGGTGGAGCATCCCGCAGGAGGCTACAAGAAGCTCTTTGAGACAGTGGAGGAGCTGTCTTCCCCCGTCACTGCCCACGTCACAGGTTTGTGTGCCCTCACCACCTCCTTCCCTGTGAGCCCCACGCTGTTCTTGGGAGCACCGGAGCCACAGAAGTCAGGTCTGGGGGACTTGCAGGTCCTGGGACACAGGGATAAATGAGATCAAGGAAGTTCACATGTTTGGGACGTGGCTGAGTTGATGTACTGGGAGCAGAGGAAGGACAGAGCAGTTCAGTGATCTTTGGCATTCCAAGGATCCTTGTCCTATGGCTCTGTAGGGTAAGAAGAAATCATAGTCCTAAAGGCTCATAAAAGGCTTCTTTCTGGAGTAGAGAAGGCTCGAGGGAGACCTCATTGCTCCCCACAGCTCCTGGCAGGAGGTTGGGGTGAGACGGGATCGACTTCTGCTGCCAGGGAACAGTGATGGGATGAGAGCTGACGGCCTCACGCTGTGCAGGGCAGCGGCAGGCTGGGTGCTGGCAGACATCTCTGCTCCAAAGAACAGTCAGCACTGCACAGCTGCCCAGGGGTGGGGGGTCAGCATCCCTGGGGGTGTTCAGAGCCGTGGGGATGTGGCACTGAGGGACGTGGGCAGTGGTTGGGCTTAGGGATCTCAGAGGGCTTTTCCAACCTGGATGATTCTGTGATTCCACAAAAGCATCCATGATCTTGTCCTTAAATAATAGTAACTTTTTAATATGAATAAACACAGGATAAAAAAATAGAAGACAAAATATTTTGACTATTCTTCTACATCTCCTGCAGGCAGGATTCCCACCTGGCTCAGAGGCAGCCTGCTGCGATGTGGGCCTGGACTCTTTGAGGTCGGGGCAGAGCCGTTCTACCACCTCTTCGATGGCCAGGCACTGCTGCACAAGTTTGACTTCAAGGAGGGACACGTCACCTACCACCGCAGGTGTGGGACGCAGCCAAGGACTGCTGTTCTTCTGGGGTCTGTGTTCATTGGGGGAGCTCCAGCAGGGAGCTCTCCCAAAGTGAGGCACTGGGGCAGAGAAGTGGGGAGAGGTGCGAGGCCAGGGTGGATGGAACCTTGAGCAGCCCATGGCACTGGGTTGGAACTGGATGGGATGGAAGGTCCCTCTAACCCAGACATTCTACAGTTCTGTGAACAACAGCACACAAGGCAAAAAATGCAGCTTTTCTACAGTTCAGAAATGTTCTGTGAAGATGAGGGCAGCAAGGGCTGCCTGCAGCTGCAGTGACAACGTACTCTTGGGGGTTGCAGCTGCCCACCATGTGCAGGGCTCCAGCACTTCACATGCTGCAACACAACTCCGGTCACTGCCAGGGGCTGGACTGAGCTCTCATGAGCCTCATCACAAAAACTAATTGTGTTTATTTTAATAGCATTGCTTGTTGTGTTAGTGTGACTGCCTGTAATGTGCTTCACCCCCTTAGGTTTGTTAGGACAGATGCTTATGTGCGAGCCATGACAGAGAAGAGGATTGTGATAACTGAATTTGGTACCTATGCCTACCCGGACCCATGCAAGAACATTTTCTCCAGGTATCAGGGCTCTGCCAAGCACTGCAGCTTCGTGCCATGGGGCCTCTGCTGACCCTGCTGCCTTCTTCCACACAGGTTTTTCTCCTACTTTAAAGGGGTGGAGGTCACTGATAATGCCCTCGTTAATGTCTACCCCGTTGGCGAGGACTACTACGCCTGTACGGAGACCAACTTTATAACCAAAATTAACCCAGACACTCTAGAGACAATTAAGCAGGTAGGTTTTGGCAATCAGCTCCTAACACATGGGCAGCCTCACCTCTTTTCCCACATCGCTCACCCTCATCACAGATGGACAATGCCCAGGGCTGCCCGTGCAGCCCACACCTCCCCACACTCCATCCCCAGGTGGATCTCTGCAAATACGTCTCTGTGAATGGGGCCACAGCTCACCCCCACGTGGAGAACGATGGCACAGTTTACAACATTGGCAATTGCTTTGGGAAAAATTTCTCACTGGCCTACAACATCATACGGATTCCTCCACTCCAAGCAGGTCAGTTCAACATGCCTCCAAATGAGCTCGTGAAAATCTTGTTCTATAAATTACTTCTTATTATTCAAATGCATTTTGTCATCAGATTTCTTTGTTTGGCCTTCTTTCTTTTTTTCAGCAGTAGGAATGTTATCTTTAACACAATTATTAACATGATTCTAGACTATGGGTGTCCAACCTTTTGGCCAAACTGAGCAAAGAGGAACTGTCTTGGGCTACACATAAATCATAATATAGTTAATGTATGTAAATAACATTTTTTTTTTTCTATTAAAGCATTAAAAGAAAAGAAGGCACCAAAACCATAAAATTAGCAAGCACATGTTCTAGCTCACAACCTTCCTTTGTGCTAGAGACAGAGGCCTTGCAGGGCAAGCACTGCTAACACAGGCAGCGCGTGGCTGGAAGCTCCCCTGTAACCATGTGGCTGTCGTTGCAGACAAGGAGGACCCAATGAACAAGTCAGAGGTGGTGGTGCAGTTCCCTTGCAGTGACAGATTTAAGCCCTCCTATGTGCACAGGTAACTCCTGCCAGGCTCAGCTGGCTGACTGCAGATCCACTGAGCTCTGGCTCCTTGTTGCAAGCAGCATGTTCACCATGTCAAACCAGCTGCTTTGGCAAATGAGTCTTCCCCGACAGAGCTCACTTCTAGAAGTGGCAGCAGGACTTGGTTTTGCTTGTAATGAGCAACTAAAGCAAGGGCTGGTACCGATGTCAGGGTGCCTGTATCCCTGTAGCATGAAGCTCTGCACTGTGTCCCGTGCTCCTGCTCTGTGCACAGAGCCTCCTCTGTGTGTGTTCCCACAGCTTTGGCCTGACCCCAAACTACATCGTATTTGTCGAAACCCCGGTGAAGATCAACCTCCTCAAGTTCCTCTCCTCCTGGAGCCTCTGGGGAGCCAACTACATGGACTGCTTTGAGTCCAACGAGACCATGGGGGCAAGTCCAATGAGACCATGGGTCACACAGGGCCTGTGCCCACCACACCATGCCCACTCACCAGTGAGACTGGCCTGCTGCTTGCCTTTCAGGTCTGGCTTCATGTGGCAGAGAAAAAGAAAGGGCGGCTCCTCAACATCAAGTACCGGACCTCAGCCTTCAACCTCTTCCATCACATCAACACCTTCGAGGATAACGGCTTCCTCATTGTCGACCTCTGCACATGGAAGGGGTGGGTGCCAACACTGCCTTCATAGAATCACTCCTCTGAGACCCCCAGCCCGACCCCCCATGCCCACTGCCCACAATACCACATCGCCACGGTTCTGTAACACCCCCTGGGCAGTGTGCGCCAATGCTTCTATATCAAGGCCCCACATCAAGATGGAAACAGCTGAGCTGGTCTGGCCCTGTGACCTTCAGTGGAGCAGAACAGGGCTCATGTCACTTAATTGAATTCTAGGGGGAAAAAATAGCTGTTTTGGAACTCGTTCCTGGCAATGACTTCTTTGCTGTCTCTGATCCCGTTTCTGTGCAGATTTGAGTTTGTTTACAATTACCTCTACTTAGCCAACCTCCGAGCAAACTGGGATGAGGTGAAGAAGCAGGCAGAGAAAGCCCCCCAGCCCGAAGCCCGCAGATACGTGCTGCCCCTCCGCTTCGACAAGGTACCACCCAGCCCTGCTGCCAGCACTGCTGCCTGCACAGCTCCTGCACTCTGTGGCCAAGTACTCCCACTGTTTTGCCTGGTCACGCTTAATTCAAACTTTTCCTTCCCATTAAAAGGTTTAATCCTTACAGCAGTAGTCAGCTTGGTGCAGAGCTGTGCGATTTCCAGCTCCCCCTGCTGTGGTCCTCCTCCTCACTGGATGAGTCTGAGCTGTATTCCATCCTGCACTGCTGCTCAAGCAAACCATGCAGCCCATAACAGGCCTCCAACTGTCCTATCGAGAGGGAAAAGTTTCATGTGTGTTCACCTAATAAGCATGCTGAGGGCAGAAATACAGGATTTAGCCTGATTGATAGGCATTCTTATTACACTAAAAGTTGACTAAGAAAACAAAAGAATCAACCATTTCTGCATATGTTTCTATTCTGCAGCTTCACAAGGCTTTGCTGCACATTGCTAGCTTCCATGCAGGTACACTCAGAACTTTGTTTCTCCATTTGTCTTGGGTGTTGTTCTTTGTCCCAGGCCGACACAGGCAAGAACCTGGTCACCCTGCCCTACACAACAGCCACTGCGACGCTGCGCAGCGATGAGACCATCTGGCTGGAGCCAGAAGTTATTTTCTCAGGGCCACGCCATGGTAAGGTGACAGCTCTGAGCCACAGAGGCAGCATGAGTCCCATCAGCTATCCGTGTCCTGCTAATCTTCATGCACATATCTGTTTTTGTAGCCTTTGAATTTCCACAGATCAATTACAAGAAATATGGTGGGAAGCCATATACATACACATATGGGCTTGGACTGAATCACTTTGTTCCAGACAGGGTAACTATCGGGAAAGGGGTGAGGCACATCTTTTTGATGAGCTTTTGCTTACGGGCATATAAGGGCATTTTTGAGATGTGGTTTTATTTACTCCACTTAGCTTTGCAAGCTGAATGTTAAAACAAAGGAGACCTGGGTGTGGCAGGAGCCAGATTCGTACCCATCAGAGCCAATCTTCGTTTCCCATCCAGATGCTCTGGAGGAGGATGATGGTAATTAATGATTTTTGGCTTGTTAATTGGAGTTGTTTGCAGTCTGTGTCCACTGGCCCCAGGTGTGCTGGTGCCATGACCTACTTCCATGGTGCACCAGGGGCATGCAGGAGCCAGGGGACCTGCAGGGTGAGATATGTGTGCCCTGCTCTAACACTGCAGGCGAGTTTCTGAGAACATGGAAAAGTCAGAATTGAATGAAACCATAGGAAAAAATCTGTAGGTTCAGATCATCTGTTCTCATTTCCCAGCCTTTTTCCATCAGGAACTACACTTAAAGAATTCCAGATGGCCAAGCTTTGTGAAATTTAACCTGTCTTAAACCAAGGATGTTTTTATTTCTAAAGCCCTCCTCCCCCTGTAGAAGGGGGGCAAATTCAGTCTTTGGCTGTGGAGGACACAGAGCTGCATTCATGCTAAGCACTGCACACATTTATTCACACATTGCCAGCCCTGTACCTATTTTTGAAGGTGGTAGCACTAGTTTTAAAGGGCATCTATTCATTCCCTGAATTCTTCATCCCTGAGCGGGAACACGTGAAGCCAGGAGAACCCTGGGCTGTGCTGAGTGCCTGTTTTTGTCACCTCCCAGGGGTGGTGCTGAGCATTGTGATCAGCCCCGGCTCAGGGCCAAAGCCTGCCTACCTCCTGATCCTGAACGCCAAGGACATGAGCGAAGTGGCCAGGGCTGAAGTGGAGGTGAACATCCCTGTGACTTTCCATGGACTCTTCAAAAGAGCATGAGTGCTGCCTGCAACAGACCGTGTTAGGCTTCTTCCAGCTTCAAAAAGATGCAGTCTCCATTTGCAAGCACACAGAAAGTGACACTGAAGGAATTTAGGTCATTTATTTGTGAGTACTTAGTTCGCAGAACTATGGAATGGTTTAGGTTGGAGGGGACATTACAGTCCTTCCAGTTCCAAACCCCTGCCTTGGGTACCTACAGGTGCCTCACTGCCCCAATTAAGACTGAAAATTTCAGTTTTGTTGCTTATTTCTCAGAATACTTACCCAGATATTTCTCAAATGTACTCCATGGCCTAATTTCAAGATGTATAGTACAATAAACCATACAGTTTCTTTTACAAAATTAAATTTTGTAGATGCAACAGAGAGAAAGATGCATGAAATAGCAAAGTGTAACCTCAGTCCCTCTGCACATGGTAACATTATGTAGAAGACAATATGCTGTTGCATCCTTTGAGAAGAGGTAATTTTTATCCTATGGGGGTGTTTTGGATTGAACTCACCTCCTGCTCATTGCACCAGTATCCTCAGAGCAAGCTGAGGGGAGCCCTTCCATGGTGCTCTGGCAATCTGACTTTGCAGGCAGCATTCTGTGCTTTGCTAAATCTTACACGCATTACTTGTCTAGTTTTCAGTCGTGTGTCTTCTCTTTTTCATTTCTTTGCTCAAAGTGCTGTTTGAGTTCTGCATATTCTTAATATGAAAAAAAATAAAAAATAAAAAAAATCAAGCAATTGTTACATCTTAGGGTGAATTTGCTTTGTTAGAGTGCTACAGAACAAAAACTTAATCCTTTCTTTCCACAAAATGACTGTGTAGTACTAACAGACCATGTTTCAAAATACAAACTTATTTGTATTGACTTGAAATCCAGGATTGTTTGTTTGCAATGGTTTAACATTTTTATTCATGGTATCAAAGAATTAGAAAATCATTTACATTAAAGCTTTCCAATATAAGGTGCTATCTTCAAAGGGTGATTACTTGAGAAGGGCTGCAGTTACATTCTCATCACAGGATACTGGTAAGGAGGTAGCACCTGGTACTTCTGCTGCTCTATAATCTGCAAGCACTGTGCAATTACCTGATTAAAAAACAAAAACAAAGACAACCACAAGCAATGAGCCTCTGAATCAAAAAGTCAGTAAAGATTCCTGGTTAAGCAGTTATTCAATAATGCATTTGTTCTTATTTCTGCAAAACAGAGCACATTTAAAATGTACACCTGCAGTTAGCAGAAACATACATCAGTGAAATGTGTCACTGGGTCATGGGAAATGCAAAGAAAAAAGATGTCTGAAAGTTTCTTTCAGTTATTTCACAGCTACACGCCTAAGATTTCCAATAGCATATCAAGATGTTCTGCTCTTCTGCTTAAGTGTCCATCTTCTAATAGGTGATACTTCTTGGTGCCTCGTGAGAACAGGGAAAGAATATACAGAACTGGTTTTGGGCTTTGAACAAAATCATAGAGCATTTTAACTTTTATCATCTGGCACACGCAGTAGTGGGCTTTGCCAAAATCTTTTCTCTGGAAAAGCTTTTTGCTGAAAATTTAAGAGTTGGGATAAGGATTTTCCCAATTTCACTGTGTGTATTTGACTGCCAGCACAGCAGCATGCATTGTCCTGAAAAAAATTATTTTTTTTTAAAGGTATGCTAAATACAGGCACATGCTGTCAGTTCAGACAAAGCTAAACTGAAACTCTCCTCTAGGAGCAAGAGCCAGGATAAAATAGCAAAACCACGGTGTTAAATAAATAACTAAACAACTAGATATGTGAACATGAATTGTGGCATCTTGGTGAAACCTGTACTGCCTGAAGAGAATCACAATGATTCAGTCCAACTGTCACGTGTTTTCTTCACTCAAGTGGTTCCTAGAGAAAGGTAGGGTCTCAAGCACTAGAAAATGCTTCTCAGGGCAATTCCATTATCAAAGTCCCTATATACACTCCAGAAAATATTTAACATGGGTTGCATCATAAATGTGTGCCCTAGTTAGAAATAATAATTGGTATCAGGATGTATTTGTGATCGTTTAGGTTTTTTGTTTGTTTGTTTGTTTTTTTAAAGAAAGCCTTCAGAAATGCAAAGAACACCTCCACACTGCTAACAAACAATGAAACACTGCAAAACAGCCGTGGTGGCTTTTAGAAAGAACGTCTTGGAGAAGATGCCTACCAGCTTAGAAAAATGAAACATCCTACAACGAAAGAATGAAAAGAATGCAAGCAGTGAAGAGGAAACTTAAGAGAGCAAACATGGGTCATGTGCAAGATCATAAAAAGAAAGGAGTGGGAGACTGAACCAAACTGGAAAGTCAGTTGAGGTTCACTGAGGAAATCCTGTAGTCAGAATGCAACCAGAGTTCAACAGAAACTTTTTAGATAGACCAAATAGGTCTACGTCTTCAGATAGGGTAGAGAACAGATGAGATTCAAAGCTAAATACCAAGAAAAACAGAACAGGAACTCAGAGATCTGGTTCTGGGAATCAGCACACTAGCTGACCGCAAGTGAACGAACCAGAGGCTCGCACATTCATCATAAGATGAGATCTGGGGATAAAAATGTATTATAGAACATATACTGGGAAAAAACAAAGCCACCCACCTTTCTGGTATTCTGGGGGAGAATTACACCATCATCCCAGAGTCTGGCAGAAGAGTAAAACGCGCTGCTCTCTTCCTCCAGCCTGGAGAAGAGAGAACATGAAACACGCTTAGAAGCAGAAAAGTTTAACAAAAAAAGCACCAGGCTGGTAAAACAAAGTTAAAGATAAAAAAGGCATACGTTTCTATTTCAAGTGAATGTGCTGTTCTAGTGTTAAAATCCACTAGGATCCAGCAAATACATAACAGATCCGATCCCTCTGTAGTTCAAAGATGATCCTCTGCATTCAGAAGATCACTACTGGTTAATTTACAGCACTGACTTGTTTTGTGACTTCCAGATTTTCTAAATAAAAATTTTGCATTTCCATGTGAAGATCCTAAGAGTAGACATGGAATCATACAGAATTCTAACATAGTTTTCATCAAATTCAGGTTTGTTTCAGTTGTTTGGGATGTGTTGACCTGAAATACAAGCATAAGTAGGTATAAATGTCAGCATAACTGCAGGATTTTACTGCTTGATGTCCTTACTTTTGTTTCAAATGTTTTAGCTCGGATTCATCTGTGCAATCACTGTCTCCAGCTTGTGGGACCATGGACAAATGTCTTGAATCCACAAGAGCAACTCTTGCATTAGGCCATAAGAACAGAAAGTTTGGACTGAACGATCTCCCACACTGCAAAAATAAGACAGTACAAAAAAATACGTAGAAATTCACTGAATTTAATCACAAAAAAAAAAAAGATAGTGGCCTACAATGCCACTATCAAGTTAGAGACAAAATGTAACAGTTAAATTTGTAAAGCAATAGTGATGCAGATCCTTTCCCATTACAACTACAGCTTCTCTATCACTACAGATCACAGAATCCTAGAATCCTTAGAGCTGGAAGGGACCTCTGAGGGCCATCAAGTCCAACTGCCCTGCAGTGCACAGGCACACCACAGCTAGGTCAGGGTGCCCAGGGCCTGATCCAACCTGGCTTTGAAAGTCTTCCAGGGACGGGGCATCAACCACATCTCTGGGCAACCTGTTCCAGTGCCTCACCACCCTCACTGAAGAAGATTTTTTCCTTATATCTAACCTAAATCTAATCTCTCAGAGCTTGAAGCCATTTCCCCTTGTCCTGTCATCACAGACCCCACCAAAGAATTTGTCCCCTTTTTTCCTGTCACTCTCCCTTAGAAACTGGCAGGCCGCCATCAGGTCACCTCACAGCCTTCTCTTCTCCAGATCCCCTGCAGAAGTAACCACCACAGTCCCACTGCATTCAATATTGGTATTTTTGTCACTGTCTCTAATCCCAAGTGAGCAAAGAGACCAGTGCACCTCCTAGTGGCATACATAGCACACATAGCAACACAACTGAAAAAGATGTAGTCCTGGACCACTGAAAACAAATGTGTGCTGAACAAACAGTGGTGTTGAATCCTCAGTAGTGACATTTTCAGACAATCCGATTTTCAGAACCCACTCTAAGTTCATTGCAGATCAAATCTGCTGTAATCACACCATGTGATGCAGTTCTTATTTAAAATTAGTTGGGATCACAAATCAAGTTCAATGTCTGTACAGCAGCTAACAATGCTGAAAAAATGAAAGTGCCATGAGTGCTGGGCAAAGCGTTAAGTGGATTACCAGCCCCACTGACTTCTGTGATATCCTTACCATAGCATAGCTTTCGCTCCCAAAACAGCCACCAATCACTATGGTTATTTTGGGAACAGCTGCACAAGCGACAGCAGCCATCATGGAGGCCTGGGCTTTCAATCTGTTGGCCTGAGCCTCTGCCTGAAATGAAAAGAAACATTTTAGTTCTGCATTTTTTTTAGATTCCTTCCACTTCCCCCAAACTTGCAACCTATTCTTAAAACAATTCTTTCTTTACAATTCTATACGATTGTTTCTTCCAAAACAGCAAGGTGGGATCAATAAACTAATCACCATAGCCCATGATGCTACTTATTTTACAGTATAAATCAGCAGAACAGTTACAACCAGTGTGCAGAAAGCTGCGATACAGAGAAACTCGGGGTCTCCCAGGCATCAGCAGAGCTCAGATACAACACAATTGCAGCAGGCTTTGTCTTAAGTGCTGGTGACAGCTGGGGGGATGGAGCTGCAAAAGTCTCTTAACATAGGCTCTACAAGGAGGCTTTCCAAAGCCCAGGACACAACATACTGTACTTCAATGCCTTCACTTTAGAAAAGGGAAATATTTACTTTCTGTGGATCACAGTGGTAGCAGAAGAACCAACAGGCTGTATCTCAAAGGGAAAAGCACTACAAACTCTGAATGTCACAGCCTGTGTTACCAGCTGGACTGCAGCCATGCATACAGGCCTGCCTAAAATCAAAATCAAGTGAGAATGCAAAGGGAAGATTTAAGAAAGTTAATTATGAAACTTCTTGATTTGACCATCAAAAGTGGATTAAAAATTAGTTTTCCTAGTAATTAATAGTTTTCAAAATGTATGTTAGTTAAAACAAGAGCCAGGTATTGCCTGAACGAAGCAGGGCAGATTAACACGCCATACCTGAGAGATGCTTGTTGGCTCTGCTGCATGTGGAGCAGTATTTTGGAAAAAGAGGATGGGAATGCCCCGGTGACTGCACAGCTGTACAAAATGGCTGCCTTTGAGAGCAGCATCATGAGAAAGCTCCCCATTGTTAGCCACTACTCCCACCAAGTGCCTACAAAACAGACACATGAATGTTTTCCCCAGAAACGAAGAAAAGGTAGCATGCAGCATTCTGCTGAGAGATGGAAACATAAATGGATGGCGTGGATCTGCCCTTTTGCAAAAATCCAGACTCTAAAAGGATGCAATGACATGCATCATTTCATTTGTGGAGCCTTCTACCCCTAACAAACCAGACATTTTATATCACTCTGTATGTATAAAGCACAGAAGCATTAACACTCAGAAGGCAGGTAAGGGTACAGGTGACCTGCCTGCAGTTCACACTGCAAGATAGCAAACTAGGTGCCAGGATTCTGGGTGCCCTCCGTTTCCTCTAACATACAACACAACAGTCAAAATGAAAAGTTTATATTTTTTGCCAAAAATCTCTCTAAAGTACATTTTACTATTTTTTTTTTTTTTAATTAAAGATTTGGCTGGAATGTTGTATGCTTTATGAGTGTGCTAGTAAGACTAAGCCTGCCCTCAACTATGCTAGGTTCTATAGTACAGACACTATTCCATCTCCATCCTGCAGGAGCTGGGATAACTTTGGACTCAGTCTGGGAAAGAACACTTACAGATGCTATTTTTTACTTCTCAGAGAATCTGCTGAAATTTCAAAGTTCCAACTGTCCAGTGACTTAAGTGCCCAAATAAACATGAAATGATTCATTTGTAATCACTCTGCTGCAATCAGCCTGAGACACAATGAATGTGGGGCCCAAAGATAAAGAATAAGGCTTTCTGGAAATGCTTATCATCAATTCCTCACTGAGTCAGAACTCCTTAAAAATTGGGAATATTGTAGATCCTGATAGTGATTCAAAAGCCATTCAGACATACACACCCAAGCATAGTGATGGTGAATCTTATAGCCCTACCCTTCCACGTGGCCAAATCCTGTTACTAATGTTGTTCCATACTCAGCCTTGAACTCCTGGAACCTGCTTCCATCCAGCAGGCGGCTCAGAACCTGCAAAGAAATACAGAGCCTTGCCTATAGAAATCTAGGTGAAAACAAACTAGTCCTGGTGAAAGATATGCTCTGTTCAAACAGTGGAGAGACCTCTATTACACAAGTCAAACTAAATGATCACAGTGGTTCTTTTATGTCTTATGCTCCAATAAATGCTCAATACGCACAAAGCATCAAATCTGTGTTTTTGTTTGATTACCAACCAAATCTCCTGAGACACAGTTCAACCCCGCAATTATTTCAAAGTTACAGACCACAGCTGCTCCTGTGCATAAGAGCCTTATTAAAAGAGCAGCACATACAGTTGTGTACCTAAGAACACCCAGCAGCACACTGCTCACACTTTTTTTTGAATGCAGATTTAAAAGCTGCTAGTCAAAGCTACACTGCTGATTACCAATCCCCTTTACTCCAGGAGCTTACCACTGGTAAAGATAAGAGGCTCACATCCTCAGAGAGACCAAACCTCACCTAGAATCACACAGTAACAATACTGAGTCTCTGCAGAGATGTCTGGCCCAACCTCAAACAAAGCTAGTTTGAATTTCTTTCTTTTTGCATTTTTCATTAGGCATTTGATTTACAACATAGAGCCTAGACCCCTTAAAAAAAACAACAAAACCAGCACGGAGATGGGAGGAAGCAGGACACAAGCCCCTTTCTAAAAGGATACATGTTCTAAAGCAGCCAACACAGTACAAGATACACTGATGTAAAAGCATCTCTAACAGTGCACAGAAACAGATGGGCATCAGCTGGTGTGATCTGTAATTATCTTGTCTCTAGTAGGCTTTCTGTTTAAATATTTTCAACAGCTCTACAGAATCAGTGCCATTCTGTTTTGCAGCAGACTCAAGACTGGTTAGCAACTGATTAGGCAACCCTATGAAACTTCTCAGGTACTTCATGATTTCCCTATGGGGGAAGAACACCTTACTGCCTATTAGTCTGAAGATAACAGCTAGAGCAGACCAAAAGAATGAAGGAATACAGGATCTGCCAGCTTACCAATTTTACAGGAAGAGTACAGCTATAATCTCGTGGTGCCAGCCCCAAAAGCTCATCTGAGCTATAGAGAGGATGGTCATGCTCCATGAGCTCTTCTGGCACAGGCTCATAATTCAACGTTGAGATAATATTTCGAACACACTCATAGGCTTCCTTTTCTGAAGATGCAAAATGGTCACTGCAGCCACTGACTCTAAGAGAGAAAGCAATATTAATTAGTAGTAATGAAATCTGAATTCTGATAGAAAACCCAAACTAAAGGAAAAACCTTCATCTCTACCGTGAATATTTGACATCTCTGACAACACTGTGCATTTTTGCTCCTATATGAATGAGCTCAAAACATTAAAGTCAGTGGGATTTCTGTGCAAACCAACCCAAAAATCAAATTACTTTCCTGCATGTACAACTGAATATCACTAACTTTTGTAATAATTCACCTATCATTTCTAACATCTTTTTCACAGCATGTTTTCAAGTCCTTGAGAACCACAGCACATTCAGTCACTAGAGACAGCTTCAGTCATGTTAATTTAGGATAGAATGGTACTTCCTTAAAGCTAAGTGTGCTCAGCTCTCTACAATTTTCACGAATTGTTTTGCATACCTAGAGTGAAGTGTAGCTCCTCCTAGGTCCTCTGGAGACACATATTCTCCAGTAGCAGCTCTCACCAGAGGTGGGCCAGCAAGGAACAGTGTTCCAATTTTATCTACAATCACAGTTTCTTCTGCCATGGTTGGGACATAGGCACCTCCTGCTACACAGGAGCCACACACCACTGCCACCTGAGGGATACAGAACCAAAACCAAACCAACATGCTAAAGAGAGCAGAATGGAAAGGCCAAGTCATTACCTTTATATCAGAAATGTTCAAGAGACTAAACCACAGCCTGCAGAGCCATGAACTAAAGGTACAAACACCAGCATGGACATGGCTGTTCTTGGCAACACAGAGCTCAATGTTTACTCTGAAACCACCTGATGATTTGATGCTTCCCATAGAAATCAGTCAGTAAGCAAACAGAAGATTCTTAATGCTGAAGTCTTCTATTACGTGAGATACTATTTGCATCACTCTGCCCCACAAATAGAAAAGGTGAGCTTTCAAAAATGTATTGCAAGTTTTAGAGCTGCTCCTAGAAGTCGTATTAAAAGAGAATTTTACTACACATACTTGCATTCAAAATGACACCATACCTGAGGGATTTTCATAGCAGATATTATTGCTTCATTGTAGAAAATTCTTCCACCATGCAGCTTGTCAGGGAACAGCTCTGACTGACATTAGAGAGAACAGTGAGTTTCAGTATCAGCTACAAAAGATAACACTTCCTCTCCATTCATTCACAAAAGCATTGTAAGAGTTTTGAGAAGGTCACACCTGAAAGTTTCATGCACAGCATTCTCTGCTGCATTTGTTGTCCTTACATGTTGTGCAGTTCCACAAAAATACCCCTGGCCACTGTGTTTCAAAAGCACAGGAAAGTTTCTTGTGTTTTGTGAAACCAATTTATTCCACACAAGCTTCAACTGTAACCATGGGGAGGGGTAACCTCATGTTCACATCTAAGGTGTGAAATGACTTCAGGAGAATTTCCCTTTTTACATAGTTTTTGGTTCAGTTCAGACAAAATCTTTTTCTACCCATTTGCTTTCAGTCTGGAGAGAGAACAACCAGTCTCTGTGATAACATGGCCTCTGTGCATGGGAAAGCAACCTGTTCAAGTCTGCCACTATAGCAAGAATTTTAAAAATTCTATTTTCAGAAGCTATGGAGGTTTATACATTACTATCACAGACTTTATAATAAAATGCAGTAACTTTAAAGATTCTGAAGTTGAAAACAGGTATTCAAGCAATGTTTCTGATTCATTAAGGGCATCACAGCATTTTTTTGCACTGAGAAGTACCCATGCTACCTGCTTGGGTACCAATTAGTCCCAACACTGATATTAAAGCTGCCACATTTTGATACTAGATACAAAATTAGCCAAAGCCATCACTGCTGTTATGTATCTTGAAATCACCTCCTGGACTCAGATTTTCAGACAAAACTCAACACAGTGCAAGCCAGCCCACCAAGAAAACCAAACAGAAATCTGAGATTTCTACAAAATCAGTATGATTGATACAAGAAGTGAGAATATTTCTTTCAAAGTGGCTGTGGTATTACCTGTAGTGGTAGGAATGCTCCCCCGCTGTCAACAAGGTACACAGACACCAGCCTGTTCTGCATGGCTATTTCCTGAGCTCTTAGCTGTTTCTTCACTCCTATTGGATAAATAGTTCCTCCTTTTACAGTTGCATCATTTGCTACGAAGACACACCAAATCCCACAGATCTTTCCAATTCCTACAAGAGGCAACACAGAAATGTATCAGACTCTCTGAGACACAATAAATGAAACAAGGAGGCCAAATTATAACTAGGGCATTCTTTTGTTAACACTGTTTCAGTAAGCTGCAAATTAACTTGCAAATACCAAACGTAGAAGAAATCTATAGCTCTTCTCTGGAATAAGAAGCTGAAAGATAATGACACACATACAGACAACAAACAAACAAATACATCTAAATTACACAGGACAGAACTTAAAATACAGCTTACACCTGGTGACAATATAAGAGGAAAAAAAAACAGTTTGACTTCCAGCTCTTGGACTGAGTTAACAGGGAAGGGAATTAAAAATTACTGATATAAAACTGAAGAACATAAGCCTGTGGCTAAGGAAAGACAGGATTTCACAATCCATTCTTCTAGTCACTTTTTAAACTGGAACTGCTCCTCAAAGAGCAATGAACTTGAGAAATTCTACAATTTGAAAAACACTACAAAATAAATGCCACAGGGGCTGTGCCATGCACTAACTTGGTCATCTTTCATGGCACAGACATCAGTGTATGTGATGCATCATTCCAAATCTCTTAGACAATTTTTCAGCCTGCACACAAACTACAACCATTGTACACTGCCTACAGCCACTGACAACACGTTCGAACATCACCTCGCAAATTATTTTGGCTCAAAACCTTCCTCCTTTCCAAGCTGCATCTCCAGCATGGGCTTATCCAAAATACCCTCAACCCTTGCACATCTCGAGATCTAATAAAAAACATACTTAAAGATTCGAGCAATTAAGCAAATGAACTTCAGGAATTCCCCATTACATTTCCTAGCAATTACCAGTGAGGCATCCAGCAGCAGGGACGTCACCATATGGCATACTGAGGCCTGCAAGGGGAGACAGCTCGAGGAAAGGCTCCTCATCGAGAAGCAGCTTCAGGCGCTCCCGAACAAACAGCTTCTTGTTTCTCTGAGTGTGACGCAGGACGGCGTTGTCTCCCCCTCCTTTACTGACCACCTGTAGCAACTCTGAGTATCTGATTTGAAAAGAAAGTTTCAGTGAATGAAACCTTCCCTTACACGTTAACCATCCATAGGTTTTGCACAGTACTTCAATGTATTGCACAGATTTCATCCCAGTGACACGGGAACAAAGATGAACTCACACTCTTGATAACGACAGTGCAGAACTGGCTAACAGACCACACTATTCAAAGGCATATGTTTTCTTGCAAAGCATAACAAAAAGCAGAGAGATGTTATTTCAAGCAAGTATTTCACTTTCATTTTTCAGAAGTCACCTGTCCAAGCCTAGCAACAACCCACCCCCAAAAAAGTGAAGCAATATAAATATTCTATTTGGAGTGCTTGATCACCTAGTAGACATCATTAAGTCCACACCCCTCCCAGGAGTTGCCTATATGCCTCCAACATGGTATTTCACAATATACATGACCATACTCAGTCCCTACCAGCAAACCCATGAACGGAGCACAGTGAAGGGGCTGACACCAGCCAACAAAGCACACTTTGAGAGATACTGCCTTACAGCAGCAACTTTAGTCCCTAAGCCTGCAGATAAGAATAAAGCTACCACAGTGTGCCAGTCCTAATTCAGCACAGACATTTACCCCAGGTTCCAACTACTCCAGGGCAAAATCCAGCCAAGGATTTCCTCTGCTGCTCCCCCTCAGCAAGTGCTGAAAGTTTACCTGGCAGGCCTAATGAACGCTCAGCAGCACAGAGGATGGACTTTAATAACACTGAATATTGCAGTGTCACTAGGATCATCAGATAGAGAAACTCATTACCAGTCATTCTTGAACAGCATATATTGCAGACAATGAATGGAATAAGACTGGAAACAAACATGGTACCTCAAGTCACTTTGATCTGAAACAAACCAGGTTGTGTATTTATTTTAAGCAAAACATTCTTTTTCACCAAGGTGCATCATCTGCAAATAAAAATACCTCCTGACACGACTACTTACAAACCACTCTGTGTATGACTGCAGTACCTTACTAAGAGTTCCTGCAGCCTGCAGAGGTTGAAAAACCTCAGAAAAAAAAAGGGTAAGGGTTTTTAGCAATGTTGCAAATGCCACCGCAGGAGGGCACAGTGTGTTTCCCATAGCTTTGCTTCCCGCTCAAGCACTGAACAAAGGCCTTTGAATTCTGCCACTGGATCCATAAGAATACATATTTTCCCATTTTGCCAGCAAATCACAAGTCTTTAAATGATTGGGTTATCATTTCTCTGTTTTCATTCAAAATCAACTGTGAAACTTGTTTCATGAAGGCCCAGAAAACTAATTCTGAGCAATACATGCAGAACAATGTCATAGGGTAATACTGAGATACAACGTGAACCCAGGTTTGGGCACTGCAGTCAACAGGAACTACCCAGGAAGCAGCAGGAAGAAAAACAGCCAGGGCTTCAAAGCAGGCAGGAGAAAAACTACCAACAGGTTGTTTGTAGCTTCAGCTTTCAATTCGCAATCTAGGTTAAAAGCTCCTAAAAGCACCCTAGTACCTAACTCTCCCATCACCTCACAGGTATCAATATACTGAAAACACCACAAAAACTACTGTTACCTTTTAATAACAGCCTCACTGTTCCTGAAATTCTCCTCAAACACGTGTCGGTACGCAGGCGGGACGCGTCCATCCAGCACCGGGTACATCTGAGCACAGCGCCTGCGTCTGGCTTTGCTGGGCAGGCAGCCGGGCAGCGCTCCTGCGCCGTTCTGTGCTGCCTGTGCCCGCTGCCTATCGCTGCTGGGGCCCAAACACGTCCTCCTGAAGGCACGGCTTAGGGGTGGGAGTCTCGGCGGCAGCAGTGACGCTGGCTGAGGGCAGTGCTTGCAGACGGAGCGCAAGGCGACCTTGTTCCACATGGCTGCTCACTTCCAGCATGGGGACACCGCTCAGATCCCCCCCACACCAGAAAA